TCGAACCCGCGATCTAGGTTCGACATCCATGGTGATCATACTCGAACTCTGCTTCATGATTCGAGCGTGTGCTGATGCTGAGTTATACTTGCGAAAAAAGTATTTCTTGGGATTCGAACCTGGGATGCACGCGTGCATCAGAATCAATGGCCAGAAATCGTGATGTTGCATGCTGAGTCTGAGTGGTCGATGTCGATGCAGGATCGACCCGAAAATCCTGAGTCTGAATATAGACTCATGTGCCAGATGCATGATTTTCAGTATAGATTCAGATTTTTGAGCTCTGAGTAAGGAATCGGCGAAGAATCACAGCCTGAGTATTGATGCACAGTTTTTACTCTGCATCACCCACGTGAATCAGGATCCGCATATGGCCCCTGCCAGGGGACCTCCAGGGCCCCCCTGGAGGTCCTCAATTCGATCCTGAGTCTGGACATTTCGCCGTGAGATCGCTTTCCATTGCAAGGCTATTCGCAATCGAGATTGCTGAAGATCGTCGAGCGAATTTACGAGATTTCTCAAACTCATTTTCAGTCTCAATTTAAGGCATGCTTCTGCTCTTGGAATTCGTGAACCGTTGGAGACATTCTGTTGAAGACCCAGCTACGGACAGAAAGTGTGTGAAAGGAACAAGCACTGGCCAGAGATACCTGAGAGCCGGTGGAACGGAAAGAGACTGTCCATCTGCGCTGAAGAATCTCGCAAGAGGTCAGGGCCACCTGCAGCGAAAGTGATACAACTCGTGGTTAGGACTTGGTCGCCCGTAAGTGCCTCGGTTGTTTGATGATCCTTGGCTGAAGGCTGCGCGAAACTGGGGTGACTTCCCTCTTCGTCAAACAGACCTGTGAGGTGGGTGAACCACGGAGTCATATGGGACCTGTTCGGTAACCTGGGGTTAGGCGGGAATCTGCAAGTCCCCCGGCTCCAATACAGCATCCAGTCGACTTACAATATAGACAAGACTGACACTGAACGGACGAGACTGACAAGTGCACAGCCAAGTTAGACGACGAATTGTGAGCAACCCTCAAAATCAACACAATCACTCTTGGTCCAACGTTCTGAATATCTTACACGTAACGACCGTGAGCAGTCACTATTGCCCAAACGTGCCTTGTGATTTCATGGCTGCTAGAGTCATATGCGCTTCGATCACTTCACGACGCCTGGACAATAGCTAGAACGACGAGAATTCTTAGAAACCACCACTGACCTCTGTTCGGATCGTCGGTCGATTGCTCTCTGTCGGAGAACTAGCACCATTGTCAAAGCCAAAGCCAACCCATAGGGTACCAGGGATGACACCTGATCCAAATGGCGCGATATTTCGAGATGATCGGGAATATCCAGCGGTGAGTCTAACTACCGGACCTACCACGCATGACACCAGAAGCCCAGCCATAGTCGGATCCACGAAGGGGTCGACTTCGGAGAAGACAACCAATGCAAAGGCTACTCCTGTACTCGATGAGCTCGGGAACGGGTTAATAACACAGGCGCCACCAGGCAGCGGAAGAAGATGTGCTGTTGGGAATCCATCAACCTCATTATATACATCGGAATAATCATATACAGTGAGCTCCTCAAAATGGGGCGAAACCTGAGCTCAACAGCGGTCCCGTGACGCAGTCATAATCTTCTCAGTACAGTTAGACTAATGAACAGCGTCTCACCTCCCATACGGACTTGAACCTCGCAGTGCTGTCAGAACCGCTGATTTCAACATAGGAGGCCAAAGGCTGTCTGGCCGATATCACTGTACCTTGCCTTGTGGTGAGATACATACGGTTGTTTCCTTCCTCGATAAGAGCAGCGTCACCCACAAAGCTCGATAACGCTCGAATGTCTATTATAGCACGACCGACCAAGAACGGCTCATCCACAATGCTGGGGAAAATGCTCTTCCATATTATCTGTGAAGGGATCAATGAGAACAAGCGACCACACTGTTCCCACAGTGAAGACCGGAATCAGGAATTGACTGCTGGCATCCGGCCGAATAGTCGGACCAACCCAGAGGGTAGGAGCCTCGATCGAACCAGATGGAATGTCGGAATCGTTCAGGGAAGAACCTGCTTTGGCTGCTCATGTTAAGACAGGGTGAATAGAGCTCACCAATTTCATACCATGCAGTTGAATGAGAGTTGAACGCCTCACTCCTCTGTAAGCACCCGAGAGAGCCGATCGAGAAGCACGAGGGCGCGTCGCTTTGCAACAGTATGCGTTCAACGTCACCATTGGTATTCTGGATAGGGTTCACCTGCAAGACAATATTGACCTATTTGCACGTAGCACAGATTCAATACTGAGACTATGTGAGGGGAAGTCGAGAAGGCCAGGTCGAGGGAGATGAGACCTTCAATCCTTCCGAATGCTGGTTCTACTAGTTGTCTGATAGTCCCTGAGATGGTGAATTCTCCATACGAAGTCTGCTGATCAATAACGTGACACTAATTGTTATAAAGACCACCAGCACACACGAGGTCAGACAACGTCAAGAACAACATGGGACAGAGCCAAATAGAGCCATGGCCATAGGTTCGAGCAGCAACAGTAGGAGTGGTAACATTGGCAACACTGTCATAACTGCATTACCGTAGTCGAACTTTTCAGCGTACACTTGTGTCCTAACCCCCCAATGGACCGTATCGCGTACTTGCATAGCATCTTGCAGCCAAGCCTGACCAAGTGTCTCTCATGCAGAGATAATCCCAACAGAAACGGCGGAGTCTAATTCAATAGTCTCAGCTCATTGAGAGCGTCTGAGCACTGACTGCCCAAATCATCACACGCACGCTGTTACACCTGTATTTCAGTGGTCACTCGTGGAGCAATGCCGTCACGAAGGAATTCGTCTCGTTGTTTCTCTGCTGTACTAGAATAGTGCAGATTCGTAGCTATAATGAATCCACTGCCCACCATCATGCATAACACCTAAGGTTCCCATTCTAACAGCATTCCCCATGCGTGAATCACAGAAAATGACAAGCTGAGGTAAAACTGGAGGAATGTCCTTTCAATGGTTTATACACGTGTTGGGATATGCCGGGGGAAGCCTCACCAAGATGAATCCCGTCGTTCGTAGCATCCTCATGCCGAGAGTTCCCGACTGTGCCGGCTGAGGTGAGGAGTGCACGACGAGGTGGAGTCAGAGGCCGCCTACTTTAAAGAATCGCTCAGCCACTCCTTCCGACAGACGACGGTCTTGGTACACATCCCCAACCACTCTCGCAGCTGCAGCCCGATGACTGAGGAACTATCTTCCCACCTCCCATCCTATGCCGTCACTCTACGCCAGTTGAGCTCCAACGGAGCCTCTGAAATGCCGTTCTCTCACTTCTCTACCGTCTTCATTCCCTGTACCCGAACCGAAGATCATCGTACTCAGGCCGGTCGAACGTGATACAGGTACAATCTGAATAATATACAAGTGTATATAGTACTCCACGAATGACTCTTACAGCTCTTCGATTCTTCACTTCAACTTGTGAGAATCTGCGACCACCTTTCTGAACTTGTACATCAGCAGTGGTAGTGTCATCAAGCGGCATATTCTTTTGCCCTCGCGGCTCCCCTACACCGTTCAACTGAGGTTCGTTCTGTACAGTAGTTTTCTTACCTTCGATGCCGGCGTCAGCGCCGGTCGCCTGATAGCGATGACGCTCTTAATAACACAGCAAATGGTAACGGTTCACCTGTGATGAATCTCCACGCTTGAATGCTTGGAAGGCTTGAGAGAGTCTCCTCATAGAACCTAGGCTTTGTATGCCCTCCACTACTACACGCAACCCTCTTGGACCAGGATGCAAGCAATGGTGATGATGATGCAGAATGTGTCAATAATGATACGATCGGTCCACGAGGCGCAGGAGCCTCTTCAAGAACGCCGCTCCGCTCTCACTTGGCCCTCCTACAGCCGAAACAGAAAGCGAGTCGATGATGAGGTCCCTCGAGGGTCGTAGAAGGGAACTGTCGATCTCAGCCATACTCTCCAGGACTCTCCGGGAGAGCTCTCCCGATGGGGTATTCGACCAGGCAGATTCTATCAGTAGTCTCACCGCTTCACTCGACAGGGCCTTAGCTCGGTCTTCATTGACAGTGAGTATACCATGCAGTGTTGATATTTCAAATTTTACAGTCAGCAATAGTAGGAATTCCCAAGTTGCGAGGTCTAAATCCGAAGACCCCAAAGCCGATTCAGCCGCTCGGGCCACAGCCTTGGTGCCCAAGGCGACCGCAGCACTAAGGCAAGCCGGGTCACCACACTGTTCAGCCATGACTGTAGCTATGAACTCTTGCAGACCCGCATCAGTGAAGAGCCTAACCCTAAACGTATTAGCATCCTCGGAGATGTGTAGATGACTCAAGGCCGCTAAGGCCACCCTTCGGGCATCGGGCGCTCCTGCGGCGTACTGGAGTACGTCAATGGGATCATATCGCGACGCCGATGCAGATGCCGGTATGGATGTCTGGAGTGACCGCGTGAAATCCACACCCAGCCTCTGGTGCATCAAGCGCCTCTTGGCGCGTTCCATTATAGACCGGGCAGGAGCGGCTACAGAACCCTCCACACTGCTCCTCCGACCCTCATGACGGTGTGTCAGCCGGAAGACGATAGCTCGATTGAGGGCAGAGGCAACTCTGGAGAGCAGGGAAGCGTTCATCTCCGATGACGTGAGGACGATGAGTGCACCAATAGCTGCTGCCGCGTCTTGACTAAAGTATGGTAAGGATGCTGTCAACAACGTGTGTGCTGATGTTCCACGCGAACCTGGACCAAAAACACTCAGCTCTCCAATGGACAGCTTGATATGTTGTACTCTCTGCGAAGGAGGCCTCGAAGAGGGAAACCCCTCCGTGTGGGCGAGGGGGAGATGGCGAATGCTGGTCCATGGCACATCGCCAGCCAGCTGTTGGCGATGTTGCCGTTGACACGAGCTGGGGATTCAGCTGGGAGGCCGCCTACAGGGACCGTCTCAGCGACCGACACACGCATTTATTAACCACCTCCTCCTGCTGCCTATGCAGCTCATCTACCGATGCCCTCAGCCTTCGATTCTCCGTCTCGAGATTGTCAAGATGCCGTGTTAGCCGCTCTATCTGTAGCGTCAGCTGAGCACAGGGGAACCAACCGAGTCTTCCAACCTCCGCCAGACTGTTCTCAGCCGCGCGGTGTTCAACTTCTATTATTTCCTCCCGTGCCATCCTATTCTGTGCCTCGAGATCGGCGACTTTCCTCCGAAGCTTCGCCTGGAGCGTAGATGCTTTCTCTGCGTCCTGAGACGGAGGCGAGTCCCATCTTACTGCACTGCTGAGGTCCCACCCCCCGAGCCTCCTCTAGTCTCGTCTTCAAACGGATGCATTCCTCCCTCGCAGCCCCGGCAGCAGTCTTCAAGGTTGACACCCTAGCTCGGAGAGCCTGGACTTCAACACTCACCGCTGGTGGTGACGACGCTGAAGGTCCTTCTATCGACTGCTGCTTTGATGACAACTGACAGGGAAAGACCCCGTATGCCTCGAGTGACGATTAGGATCATTCCCAGGCCGAGGTCGTGAATCACTCACATCGGTGATCGTTGACATCTCGTTCATCTTCTTCTTCAATCTGGCACATTCCTCCTTTGCCGAGGTAGCAGCTGACTTATACGAGGCAATGCGAGACCTCAATGATTTCAGCTCTTCCTGGACGACAGCATCTGCCTTCTCCCTCTGTCTCCTCTCGCTTGCCGTCCGCCGGGTCTCTTGCAACATTGAAGTAACTCGACTCATAAGAGCCTCCATCTGTCCCAGCGTGATCATCATCACCACCAAGACTTTCATATCCTCACCCTTTTGGTCAACTTCCCTGCTGTAGAGTTGAGCGTCGACTGAGCATCTACGAGCAGCCTCGCGGCGAGCTCCTGGACCATCTGCTGTGCCTTCACTATCTCAGCTCCCACAGCGCTCTGTCGATGCAAGAGCATCCTCTCTCGTGCACTCACATCCGCTGCTTTCCTAACGACCAAACTATGCAGTGTGCTCAGCTCCTCGGCTGCTATCTGAGCATAAAACACAACCCCCATCGAACGTCTCCTTCAGCAGGGGACCTCACCAAAGCAGAGGCCGTGTTCCCTCCAGGGAAGCTAGTAGTCAGTATTGATGATGATGCCCTCAGACTGTCCCCTTCTTCTCCCTCACCCCCAATGCCGAACATCGACGTATCATCACCGCACGAATGCATTGCTCCAGTCGACGGGACACACTCATGGTGGTCCACAACGGGCCGATAAGCATCCCCGGGGGTAATGGGCGATGGTCTGATCCAATGTAGGAATAACCCACACTGTTCGACGAGTTTCGAATACAAACTCGAGGGAGAGTGTACAAAACCCGAGGAGAATCTCCCGAAATTTCCTCCAAATTCCATTTTTCACCATCACATGTAGTTAATCATGTGCATATTCTCCAACCCTGATCTGTTCACACGCGGTCAATCGAGGGTCTGTCCAGGGCCTACCCGAAATCCGAGGTGAACTGGTTTGCGCTTCCCGGTAGTTCGTCCTCGGATGCTGCTGCTCCTACCGGCGGTGCCGCCGCTGGCGTTGAAAACATATCCGCTTAGTCAATAGTTGGGGGTTGAGGTATTCAACGATCAATGGAGGAGGTCAAGTGCTGGCTCTCAACCACAACGATTCAACCGATTTGGAAGACGTAGAACTGCCCACCAAAGGTAGACGCCGGAGAGGGATTGCCAGCCCCCCTTCTCTATAGCAATGCACTGACAACTCTAATCCCGCCTTGTGTAGTGTGAAAGTAATCACGACGAGAGTGATGTACATCCTTCCCAGAATCAGGCATCCTCCTCAAGGAGCCCTACGAAGCCCAATACATCTCCGCGTAGATCCTCCAAAGAGCGGCGTAGTATCCCAGTGCTATGATGTTCGCTATCGTGGAAGTCAAAGCTAGGCCTTCTCTCTAATGCCGTCTAACGTACACCACATATCGGAGAGGCACTGAGAGGAGCAGGAGTAGGGCGGTGATCTCTAATAGTGGTATAGGCAGCTTCCTTTCACTGCACTCCTTCCTCTACTGATACCAAGCATGAATGTTTGCGGTCGCTGATCTATGCCTAGCCGAAATAGACCAAGTGTTGCTCTGAAGAATTTGATGGTACTGGGAATAGCCACTCAGCGCTCGTCTGTGCCAAGTCTTAATTTACAAATAACACAGCTCGCCAAGGCAAACGGCTGAAGCCACAATGGATCATAATACGAAGCCCAATCGTGTATGTCTAATGATTAGTCACGTCGGTATAGGATATGGATGCCCTTCAGTATTGAGAACATACTCTGTGTGGGACAATAGCACACCATTCGTCATTCCAACACCTTCACCCATGGCATCCGGGGAGAATAGAAGGTAGAGGTACTTTAGGGTCTCTAAAATAGGAGTAGCAGTACTCTGACGGCTTCCTCCGCTCCCAACGACAACATATTCAGCGTGAGCCGATCTGCTCAATTTCAGGTGAGACAGAGAAATGATATGAGTATAAACCCTGAAACACTCTCAGTTCTATAAGGCACTACCAGAGAAAAAATAGCTTGGTTGGTGTCCCGTATAACTTCTAGGCACTCTGACGTTTTCCAGCGAGGAATAGCCGTAAGGCGTGCGAGCATGCCGCTCGAGAGCCCGAGCGATGCGCCAGCCCGCTTCTCTATAGTACCTTGATTACCAAAGACAACACCTTTCGCGAAGAACAGCCTGGCAGAGTCAACCGAGGCTTCGATTCCCTCCATGGAGTAGATAGAGAGTTGCTCAGTGAAGGATTGAAAACTCTCTCGCATGTCATGCGAATCAGTATTTCTCAAGAATCGATCGCTACATGGATCAGCAACAGATGCCTCGAGAATTCCGCAAGCCGATCTCAAGTATTATTCCCAGTCCTACCATTCTCCTGTGGCCCTCCACATGTACCACAAAGCCTCAACTGTCTCCGGCCGCAGCAAGTTGTGCATAGAGAAATGATCATCCGCCAGGCCATGAGCGTCAAAGCGAGTGATTTCCGGAGCCAGACCGGTCTCTGATATTCTCGAATACCTACACGAGTGACCGAGAACAGGCCCCTCCAGTCAACAGCTGATACACTGAATGCTGACATTCGAGATCTCCGTAGAAGCTGGGCCAACAACATGGAATAGGAGCGGAGTACATCAATGTGGATTTACATTCCTATACATGTCATAGTGAGGTTCTTGGCCCAGTCGAGCTCCTCTTCCATGTCCAACACTCCACTACCTAGCTGCAACAGATCTTCGAATGCCGTTGTCACAGGCGTATGAATCCTCGCTGGGGACGAGGTGAGCGCGTCCTCTCTGAAACAGACGACCAAGATGAGCTCTACTCCAACCTTGGGATCAGGGGACTAAATCAGCACTAGTCGAGACGAAACTCCAATGCCACAGTGATGTGCTCGAGAAGGTCAAGGATGAGTTGCATGATAAACCTACACGCCGTCGTCATGTCCTCCACGAACGATGTAGTCCAACGCTAGACTCCCAGGCAGGAAACATGTAAGATGGTCCATTTTCGGATCCGACCGATGCAGACCGAAACTGACAAGAGACAGTGTGAGCATCATCCCTGGAGCCCGTCCAAGTGCTCGAGCTCTCTAAGTTCCTAGTAGACAAATTCCGAGCGGTATTGTGCTCAAGTGCACCTTCTACAGGAAGTAAAACTGTCCCATTTGCTTCCTCTAGTAGAGGGGCAACGAAGGGCATACCACACGTGCCCATGTTGCCATGACCACCAACCTCTCCACTACACCACATTACTCAGCAATGCGGTCCTGACCGATTCCTCCAACCTCGGCATGTGAGTTGAAGTTGTGATAGATCTTATAGAGACTCCTCTGCCAGGTATTTAATAAAGAGGCGTCGCTCTTTCCTCCCAGTATCCATTCCTTTAACAGATATCTGAATCCCGCGACTGATCACCGAATAGACCCAGCCAACTGATGGGCCTTCGAGGTGGCTAACGGTGTTACTCATAGTAGGAGTCGCCTCGCGCACCCAGGCCTAGCTTGTTGTCGGTAATGAGCCCCACGTCGCCAACTCCATGTGGAACTAATGGTAGCAAGACGGCGAGAAGGCCGATCGAATCAGAATTGTAATGCTTCCGCAGAAGATGATGAACCTGACCAGGACAACTAGTGCTCGTATGCATATATGCAGGCTCGAGAGACCGAACAAGCGACAAGGCGGATTCTCGTAGAGCACCGACTACAGCGGTCCTATCATTATACAATCACAGGCCCGATGTCTCGACAACGCCAATGCCGCAAGTAGCGACCAAGTGCTTCCGTCCTCACGTTCGCGGCAGCCCGAGCGAAAACAGGATTCCCGGTGAGCATAGTGGCAGCGTTCAAGTCGAGACCGATGTTGGCCTCCGATAAACTGACATATCCTCCCAGCAGCGCAGATTCACCTGTCAAGACAGCTGACGACTAGTCCCTCTCGATGTGCCTACCAGTGGCGAGATTGATGTCCGAGTATGGTAAGTGGGGCTCGCCAGTACCGAGGTGGAAGGCTTTCACTAACCTCACTCCGATGTCCTCAGCCATCTCGGCCAACATAGCCCTCTGGGGGGAATCAGGAGCACTCAGAGCCCAGCCGCCCACGTACCTACGATGCAGCACCTCATTGCTTCATACGGCCGAATAAGCTGATAAACGTTTGCAGTTGGCAACTCGAATGAGCTCCTATGATGCTTCTCGCTCGAGAAAAGTTGACTAACAATATTGATCTCTCACCCGCCCAATATCCGAATTGTGGACTCGAAAGTATTGACCCAGAGATCCTTGCCGTGCGCCTCCTTATAGTGCTGATAGAGCCATCCAACTGCGCGCTCATACTCAGCTCTCATGCCCATCAAAAGTAACGTGTCTATGGCATCGACCATCGTCAAACTCATACCACCCCAATTGTCAACACCTGCCATGATAACGGAAGTAACCACAAGCTGCTTCTTTGAGAGCGACACTATGGTCACCTTGCCCTTGTAAGGTGTTCGTTTCATCACTGCCAAACGCTATGGCTTCATACTGACCATAGGCATGCCGCATCATGCCTTTCACTGCCTGTTGTCGATGATAGGAATTCTCGAGGAGCCACTAAAAGACCATCACTTCGAAGGAGCTACTCTTCCATAAGTTGTCTTAGCGACTACTCTTGAGCAAACCTAATACTCCAACCAGCCCAAGTCAGAAACAACACGGGAAAAATTCTCTCAATACCGAGTGAGCCCATTCCGATGCGTCCATGCCACAAGTACGCCACTGAACGCTTTCTTCACACAGGGTAGCCGAAAGAGCCTCAAAAGTTGTCAGATTGGAAGAGACACACACTGACATAGTGATAGTCGTCAGCCCACCTCTCGGAAGTCCAAACATTCGTGTGAAAATAGGGGGCATCTCTTGTTATGAACAATTTCAATATACGCCAATTGCGTTGCTCTTGAAGCTGTAGAGGAAAACATCTCACTGAGTGAATGAGTTGGGTGAGGAAGACATACCTGATCACGGAAAGTCGATTATAACAATACCTCTTAAGGACCACAGTGGTACTAAGGGCCGACTGTTATTTCGATCTACCACGGAAAGCAGAGGGACTTACATCGTAAGGAGTACTCTCCCACAGTGATGTCGACTCGGACAGTGGATCATAGGCCTTCACTAAAGCTGATATGCACAAGGTAATTATGAGCTGTATCATTATAAAAAACAACTTGGTGGTTAAGCGGCTAAGCCGAAGAGAAGCTGCGATGATTGAAAGAATCAACTCGACGCGATCACAACAGCACCAAGGACCTGATAACGATTGATGATGATGATGATGACTGTGAAACATTGATGCCTACTCCTAAAGAAGAAATCTATCAATGAATATTAGAAATACTACTGAGAGGAGTCCACCGAGAAGACCAGTAGGACAGCGTAGAGATAGACCACGACCGTCAAGGGATAAACGTTACCCTCGATCATGATGATGATGGTTGCTTGAGTGAAGTGGTAGCCGTAGGTGAGATCCAATTACCACCAGACTAGTACAGAGGGATATGACGATTCAGCGCGCGAATTAATGATGGTGGTCAGCAGCAGCAGGACCGAGACGACGGCGGCGGCCACCAATTTACGGGAGATTTCGAAGGTCTTGGTTGCTATTGTTGTTATACTTGTTCATTATAGACGAGCTAATCTCAGCAAGATGATAGGTGAAATGGTGAAAGTACTATTACATCGATAAAAGGCAACTTAATACAGTCGAAGAGGGTACGATGAATCTATCTAGTAGCAATATGATGGACTCCACAGTAGTGAGGACATCTCTAGTATCATCAATCCGACACTGTGAATGGAGGGTAAAAAGTAGCAGCAAAACCACAAACACACAAACACTGGTCCACTGGCTGTTGCTCTTGAGCTCATCACTGAGTAAGATAGTCATCCAAAGGGCCAACGTTGAACTGTAGATCTGAACCATCATCTTCATAATAGCCCCTGTCCGCTTCTCTATCAGCAAGCCTCAAAACTTGACCATCAACTTTCAAGGAACCCGACAGGATAGCCTCCCTCACCGAAAAGGCCACAGCAGAGCTCTCGAGCGTCACTCTGCACTCCTTGTCATCGTCCACCACACAGGAGACCACCGAACCGAAGCGTGATGACAACAAATCGACCATATGTCCACGGCAACGTCGTGAAGGGAGTCCAACGAGAGTAATCTCTTTAAGGCTTCTGTCTGGGGTCGTGGACGTTCCAGTATTATCATGCCTCTTAGAGAACCTCCTAGGGGTGGCCATATTTGTCGAAGCCTTCCTAGTAGAGCCAGAGAGAGCTCGCCCGCCATCCCTCCTCACCGTACTAAGGGCACTTCCCATACGCCCACACACAGAGCCTTGTAGAGACGCCGGCACTGACTGCATCTTGGCCCAGTTGGCGCTGCAAACCTTACGAGACTTCGAGCTTGGCAAACGAAAGCCTTCATAGACCGAGGTGAACCTCACAGCCTCGTCGTGGTTGACTAGATCAACAAAGGCGTATCCCAAATTGCAGTTGTTCGTACCGTCCTTCGGGGTGTACACGTACCGAATGTGCGAGTCCGTGGAGAAACCCGAGGCGTTGAACTGCTCCACAAGCATGATCTCATCATACTTATTGGGGATATTCCTCAGAATCACAGTACACCAGTCCTTAGGGTCGACCAAGTGTTGGGGTAGGGTGTTGAAGGGGGTAGCCGCATGCAACGTACTACTGGACGGGACAGAAGACAAGCTGCTCTTGAAATTTGGTGAGGAAGAGGTCGAGAAACCCTTAGCTCTCCTAGAGGCGGGCTCCTGAAGGGACCCTTCCGGGGTAGGAGGCTCAGCAGTGGTAGCAGTAAGCGGCCCCAAAGGTGAGGTCTTATCGTAGTTCAATCCACTGTCGTAGAAGTAGGGAGGGATGTCCTTAGAAGCCGTAGTACTAGCAGTAGACGTTTGATGATGCAGCTCGTCGAGACCAGCAGCCAACTCCTTGCAGTAGTCCTCCCAAATCACAGCGAACCTCTCAAGCATGCGAGTCAAAGCTCGAGTAGCATGCCCCTGGCTGGCCGTAGCAACAACATCACCAGAGGCAGACCTAGCAGCAGTAAAGGCAGCATTGGAGAGGAGCTCCAGACTAGATCGACTTGGTAGAGGCGCGCCAGCCTCTTCGACACCGATGTCGACCAGTGCCTCGATAAGGTTGAGGGGCATAGGCATGGTTAGGAGCGTTGAAGGGTACATAGAGGGAGAGGCTGCCTGAACAAAAGCCATGTCCAACTAGCCACAGTTAAGCCCTACCATAAAAGAGTCATCGATTTTGCCGTACCCTATGGGATCGCCGAAATCGGCGTCTTCAGATTCAGTCATGGTGGAGTTGCTGAGGAAGGCCGGGACCCCAACATGGTTCTCCAACGAGAATCCGCCTAAGTGGCAAGGATCAATCAACATCACTATTAACCTAAAGGGTAGCACCAAAGATGCCATCCGGGCTAGGCGGAGTGCTCGGACGCTTCACATCAGGGTGAGTCCCTCCAGCACCGTAGTCTATAGAGGGCCGTGGAGTAGCGGAAGGCTTGGAAGTGAACGCATCGAGCTCAGGCAAGGGCCTCTCAGACTCGACACTCGCATCGTCGGCGGAGACCTTCAAGCTGTTAGACTGCTCCATGGATAGACTGTGATATGATCAAATCAATTAAAGATGCAATAAAGAAGGCGTGGTCAGCACGCACGCGCAAAGATACGGAGATGGACATACGACCAAAGATTCTCAACTCACTATACCCATTTTGCAGATGTAGAACTAACCTATCCATAATGCAATAGTCATTAGGACCGTACATCGAGAGTTTAGCAAAACGGAATCGAGGGAGAAGCGACTGGCATGTCGTGGTGTGCCTGTCGACTGCAGCTGTGTCAATACCTTTAAATCTTGTGGGTGCGGTTTTGTCGGTTTCGTCCAGTACCGAGATACCGCTACCAAGGATCGAACCCGCGTCATGTGAAGCACCCCACCCACCATCATGGTACCCCCGATTGAGCTAACTCACTCAAGCCAAAGTTCTCAGGTGTATAATGTTATAATCCTAGACAGTAAAAGCAGAGGTCAGAAATGCTATCATCGTTCAACCATCAATGCATCATCCTTACGAGAGACAGTGAGCTCACAAGGGCCGAGCAAAGAGTACGGCTCGCCATCCAACTGAGCCGGTAAGCGGGCCCCAGTCGACAGTGACAATGTTATCTCCTTTCCTTGGCAAACAGCATAAGGCGAGGAAAGGCCAACTTGGACCTTGCCAAGATGGAATAGAGAGCTCACAGCCACCACCTCAATGATGCCGTCATCGATCCTCTGTCGCCGATAACCACGAGAATGCGGACTTGTTGAACCCCAGAGGTCTACCGCTCCTGCAAAGCTAGGGATGTTCACGATGATGATATCAGCCAGATCCCCATTGCAAGGCAGTTGCACTGGCACTCCATCACATAGCAAGGACACATCTTTCAACGAGACCGGCTCCTCCACTAGGAAATCCGCAAAGCCCAGTTCGCCGTATCGAACCTTGTTCTCAAACCTCGTAGTGAATAGCTCTGGAAAGGTCTCTCGATGGTGATGGAACTGCCCAGCAATCCTCGCCGCCGCACCAATGTCAAGATAGTTGATGACGACCTTATCCTCAGTCTCGGGCGAGAGGACCTGTAGGGCCGAGTCCAGGCCAGCTGTGTAGTCCTCATCCTCGACGAACTCCCCATACAATCTTGGAGCGGACAAGGAGCGTTTGATCCTATTATGGGAACGATAGTAGTCGAACTTCACATTCCACCGGTCTAGCCGTTGGAGGCGCCCCTCCGGACGAGCCGCCATCGCCGTCCGCATTGAAACCTCCGAGAGGTCCATCTCGCGTCCACAACCAAGGATTGCCGAGAGGTCGTTACCAGTACCCATAGGCATCACTGATACCGGCACCTTACTCAACTGTTCCGCACCATATACAGCCTCAAGTTCACCAAGTATCCACCCAACAGTGCCGTCACCACCACATACTAGGACTCTCAGAGTGTCAGCTATCGAGCTGAAGGACAGGAGGGCCGCCCGGGGCTGTCCAGCTTTGGTGACGTCCACAACCTGTCGAGGGTGTAAAGTACCATAGAGCATATCCCTAACCCGTCTGCCCTGCAAACCACCACTTCTAGGGTTGATAAAGCACAGTACAGGACTAGTAGTGTCACAGGCAATACACGCCTCTCGGGAGACAGTAAAAGACGGAGTGACAACGGGAGGGTCGGCCACGCTCGGCGACGCCACCATCGGAGTCGACGACTTCCTACGGCCCCTTGCTGTCTCTAGTAGTTTGTAAAGCCCCAAACTAAACTTCGTGATGGACCATTTGGTCGTAGCCGGCTCGACTGGCTCCACTACTAGAGGTGTCGAGCAATGAGTAGAGTCTCTTGGGCTCAACGTACCATCCACGTCACTCTGCGTCCTCGCCCTAGACGTCGAATTAGGTATATCGACAAAGCATGCAGGCTTGAGGCAGGCGAACCCCAGAGGGCCCAGATCGCACTCAGGGCCAATTTTCTCCCGACATTTCCCCGCATGGACGAAGCGTCGGCACATGACACAGCGGTAGTCATCCTCAGAATCACAAGGCTTGTAGCAAACCTGGCAGTTCATCCCCTCAACCATCAAGTTACCCCTCAGCCATCGATGGTTAGGTGGGTAGTCTGTAAAGTCCCAACGACATGGCACTCTATGAGCATGTCTATGAGCACAGTAGAAGTGGGCCACCTGTGAGCATATAACACACTCACAACCCTGCTGCTGTCGCTCCGCTCTAGACGGTATCAATATTGCGGCCAAGGCCTTCCGTCGCCACGTCTCACCCGCTACGTAAATATTCTTACCACAAATGTCACAAGTCTTAGGCGACTCCCAGGAGAAGATCGCCCGCCAACGATGGTTGCTCGGAGGCCGATCCCTCGAGGCCATGGCCTTGAGCCATCCCGCTACAGCCCTCATGCGGTCCCTGTTCAGGCGCTCTTTATACGAGGCAAAACGTGCATTGGCAATTCGGTGGAGGATATAGATACATAGGAAGCCCACAAGGACAGTGGTGGCCAGAGAAGCCCAGTCGATGATCATAAAGTGAATTAGCTAACAATAAACATGCCACGGTCTCTAGCGGAGCGATGCAACATCCGATGACCAAAACCCAATACTAACCCTGTCGTTGAGACATGCTTGAGAAAAGCCAGTGTTAATTATACCGCTCCTCGGAGTCCTCCTCTCTCGCCTGACCACCCTCTCCCATTACAGTTACGATGCGAGCAAGATACTCGTCCTGAAAAGCGCCGGGAATAAGACCTATGACCAGAACATGTGGCCGGGATGGGGGAGAATACGAGTCTACCCTACCTTGCGCCGGACCAGGGAACGGTACCGTGCCACAGTATCTCTAAGCATGTCCGACTCCGCCTCTAACTCCTCCACCTTCTCTGCATTGTGGAAGGCCGTCAGTTCATCGCATAACGACGCCCCTGCTGATGAGGTACACGGCAATACAGAAGCACACGGGACGACCCACCAAATGACCGTCCGCCCGACGATGGGGAGCAGCTTGGCCTAAGGGACGTCTCCACTGAGGCGGACCCACGACGATCTACCTAGACATGCTCGCTTCTCCTCCGAATGCATGCTTGCTAAGACGCTCCACTAGCTGTTCCTTGTCACGCTCTAACTCAGCCACCTTGACAGTCAGCGTGTGGACCACACTATGCAGGGAAAAGACCCTCCACTGAGTTGCGAGTAACAATCGACCTACTCGTCAGTCCTTGCCCGATCCAGGCCGCCAGCCGCCGTGTCTGGACTGTAGGGTAATATTTGGTCCAGGACCACACCAGGGGTAGTAGCACTATTGCACCAAGAGGGACTCGACGCCTCAGTGTATACCAT